AGACACTTCGTGATCAGCATTGTAATCAGTCAAATCCCTGAGAACCAAGACTAAAAATGAATAGCCTCTTTGCTTTTTATCTTCTTTACGCTGATGACTCATCTGACTATTATTTAGTTTCTTTTCATACTCACTATCTAACTTCACGGTGTCTGCCCAAAAGTAACTCATAGCTGGTCTTCAATCACATGCTGAATATCTAAGACGAAAACACGCTCGGTTTTGACTCACTAAAGATTATCCGAGTATTTTTATCGTTGCTTAAAAATGATACCTTAAAGTAGGTGGCATGTATTATAAAATGATTTGTTTGTCGACCACGCTGAGCTAATGTAACTGATGTCATTAATGTCACTGGCTGTAAATATGTACAACATTCTTGCCAGAAGTATCTCTTTATGTCAAGCGTAATTTTTTTTTGTCTTACTTTGTCGTGGTAATATTTAAGTCCCACTCTTATGTGACTCTACAGTCAACATATCAACTGTTTCTTCTGGTTTTCTGAACATAAACGGCTTTTTTTAATTTCATGAAGTTAGGTGGTAAGGACGAATCGGGCAAATCCTGAAAAACAAAGCGAATTAGTTTTTCATGTGCTTAACAAGGTTTTTGAAGCACAACAACAACTAATACTTCTGGTGCAACTGATAATAAACGTACTAATATCACAACTGTTCATATATATGGATTACATGAGCTGTTTTAAAATAGATACAACGATAGCCTTATCGCATATTGATATGGCATACTTTAGTCAGTTCTCTAACTGAAATGAGCCAGAGTTTAGTCGTCGTCGTCGTCTGGGTCGGATACCTCAAGGTAGTGATGTTCCTCCGGAATTCCTTTCAGACATCTGCTTCGTTAGGGGGATCGGTGTTAACCGACTATAGGGTACCATGCATGCTTTGGTGCAAAGGGTATTTGAGCTGTCAGATAATCACACTGTTTTCAAATGCCTTATACGACAGTCCAGCAGAAGGTGCAAAGAAACGTTAATTTAAGAGTAGAATTCGGACAATGTGGTACAGTATAATTCCATATTAGGTAAGTTTATTTGATATAATACACAATGATACAGTATTAACAACTGGTTGACGCTTTGAGCACAATGTATTGCCCATAATCATACCAAGCAACTCACAAAAACCACGTATTTGTCAGCGAGACGTTCTTCCAAACCACAAGCGAATTTAATCTTCTTAGTGGGTAGGGTTGCTAGCTTCACACTTCATCTTCATTCTTAACCGGCTTGACAAGGTTTAGGAGTATGTTGGCCTGTCGACGTTACCGGGGAAGCATTCTACCAATGAACGGCTAACACATCATTAGGAATAACAGTGTCTTTAACAAACTTCCATATGTAATTAAACACTAGCATAATTTAACTTTGATGAATTCGATGAATAGAGAATAATATTGAAGCAGTAGTGATAATTGTAAACATTGGTTGATAAAATATTTTAATTTAAATGGAGTTAAAGTGCTCCATATTTCTTAATAATTACTTAAGCATGTGACGGTTTTACAGACACGACTAAGTTCTACAATTCATGAAACAATCGACTACTATGGATACATTGATAATGATGTGAATCACGCATCCCAGTCGTTTGACCTTCTCAACGAGATCCACTATAATGATAAATTAACCACCAAACAAGTTTAATTTCTTAGATCTTAATGTGAGAAGAAATGATGGTACAATCAAAAAAGTCCGTCCATAAAAAGAAACTTGAATGAAATACTATCTTCACTACAATAGCATCTTTTCTGTCATCTATAAGCATAGATTAGTGAATACACTTTGCAGCAGAGCCAGGAAGCTATTTTCACTCAATAAGTTGTAAGAAGAATTAAAATTTGTTGAGAAATACCTCACAGAGAATGGATACCCTAAAGGATCTATCCTCAAGTATGAAAAGAGATAGTCGGAAAAAAGAAGCATCTGACTGTTGAAAAAAGAAGAAAGTCTTTATTCATTTTGCATTCAGCGGAGAGACAGTATCGAAAAAAGAGCAATAAAAAGATGTTTCCCTACAGTCAAGCTTGTATAGGCACATACAGCATCATATTCTCAATAAGCTAATCCAAATTGGATAAGTATTCCACTGATGTCATCACCTCCAACTGTATTTATAAATTTACATACTCTTGCAGTTGCAAGTTCAATGGGAGGACGGAGACGAATTTCTCTCTCTCGTTTTCTGAACACATTCCACAAACTTTATACCCTAAAAGGAAGGCAAATATTAGGAAAACGTATTTCTAAGATGATAGACAGATATGGGGCATCCTTTTGACACTTCTGAGGGAGGACAAATTGTAATGGGATACCTATACATACAGATTTCGATTTTGACCATCCATGTTAATTACATGGTCGTCCATATTAGTGATTTCAGCTCACTCGTACCTATTTTTTTTCCTTCACGTTCCCCAGTGGAACATAGGGCTTCAAGCTAGTGACTTGAAGTTTCTGTAGCAGTGTTTATTTTACAGGATGGGATTGCTAGCCTCATGCCCGACCTTTCCTCTTCACCAGCATTATTTCAGGCTCAGCGAGGTAAAGGAGTGCGTCTGTGGCCGGGGATCAAACCCCGGACCATTTGCATGGTCGGTGAGCGTCCTAACCGTTATGCCACTGACTCACTTTCGTACCTATACTTTAATCTTATATGCTAACAATGTTTATTAATTTTTTTCTGTCTTTTCCTTCTCTCTTCTATCATTCCACCATTGTGAAGTATGTTATCTACATTCTTTCTTTTATAATGATTGTAGTAATTTTGAGTGGTAGTTTGCAGCTGGTGTCAGCCTGTGTGTGCAGCATTTTTCACTTTTTAATGAAGCTGTAATCACAACAAAGTAGAAATTACATCTAAAATATTGAGAATATGTGTATAAGAAATATACTGATAGCATATATTTGTATATTTAGCATATATATATATATATATATATATATATATATATATATATATATATATATATACTCGTAATTATACATGAGAACTTGTAAACCTAGTGTATACAGTTGGTCAGTAATGTGAAGGAAAAGAAGAAGAAAAACAAACCCAACCATAACAAACAATGAAATATTAAAGGTAATCGAAGGAAATTTCGCATTTTCACACGCAGAGACAGTAAGTAGGTTTATGAATAAAATGAAAACGATAAGGTAGGTAGATAGGTGACTGTTTTGTTCATCTGGTAATAATAATAATAATAATAATAATAGTAAAGAACTGAGAGAAATGAGTCCGTTAAAAAGACGGTAGGTAAGATACAGGACAATAGAGAAACAGTCATTTACCCCGCATATTCTCTTTCATTTTAGGATATGGAAGTTAGAGAATGAGAGAAATGGAGGGAGTGTGTGTGTATATGTGTAAAATGTTAAGTTGAATAGAGTTCAATGACAAATATATGCATATGTCTGTCTGTGTGCAAATGGATGTCATTCATGTTTAATATATTACCGAATAATAATAATTATTATTAGTATATATTATCCATCTAACTAAATGTTTGAGCTACAGTAGAAAATGAAGAAGGGTGAGGCAGGGGGGGGGGAACTGTCATTCACACTCATACACATATAAGGTTGATATATTATCTCATTAGAAAAAGAAACAAGAATGAAATGTTGCCCTCAGTGAGTGTCATGACTTTATTTTTACTTTTGTCTCAAAATTTAATCATAATCACATCATGTTTCACATTGTATTCAACATTATTGTTATTATCATTATTATTATCATCATCATCAGAAATTGTAATAGAAAACATTAATAATTATAACTGGAACTATTCAAAGATTAAAATAGGAAAACCAACTCAACTACTAATACTACTACTAGCAATAATATTAGTAGTATGTGTAAGTAGGATATGAAGTGTTTAAAGAAGAACAGATAATATATGTTTATGTATGTATATATATATCACATAGGAATTATGTTTTGTTTTCACGGTGGGAACCAGTGAGGGGAGGGGATAGGTGAGTTGGGAAAGTAATGAATACAAATTACAATAAATTATGCAGTTCTGTCTAGTTTCTATCACCTAGTTTGCTTTAGTTGTTGGTGTTGTTGTTGTGTTTCTTTGTTTACTCGTTTATAGACTACTGTATTCATTCACAGTAGCTCGTGAAATTTCTTTGTTGTTTTGTTATTGTTACTTCACAATGAATTAATTGTTTCATTAGGAGAGATTGTCTAGTAGGGGTTTTTCCTTCGGGATAGTGGAAGGAGGCGACCCGTCGGACGGGTGGACGGACAGTGGAGAAGGATTTTGAAGAAAACTATGATATATATAAGTGTGTGTGTATATGTATAGTTTATGTGTACTATCTAAACAAGAGAAAAAGGATAAGAAGAAGAGGAGTAAACTGACACAGCCTCATCCAATAGTATCATCATCATTACGTAATAGAGTATTTGATATATATATATATATATATGTTTGTGTGTATGTGTATGTAGCGATGAAAAGAGTTCAGTATTTCGAAAAGAATGTGAATTTAATGAGACAATAAATAATAAAAGTAATAATAATGCACAGAATACATGGTACTGTTTGTTTCTTTTCTTTCACAATTGAAACTTGTTTGAGCTAATGATACACTACTGGTCTTGGTATGTGATACATGCGTCTATCTGTCTGTCTGTCTGTCTATCTATGTGTAGGTATGCGTGTGTGTGAATAAGGGTTGGATAAAAAATAATACACAATGGCAAAACAAAAAAGAACTTCAAACATGGAGTAATAGGGATAGTAGGAATAATAATAGTAATAATCATAACTATAAGAGTAATAACTCATGAGTGAACTTTTATAGAAAGGCAATAATGAATTGGTAATAATAATAATAATACTTCACAACTACTTATCTAATAATTCTTTGAATTGGGCATATATGGATCAAGGAAGGAAGTAGGTGTGATTAGAACAAAGTCTCTTTCTATAATAATGTATATATATATATAATATGTTTATTTTCAAAGTTTTGTTTTATGAAGAACTTCTGAAGAATTATTTTCATTTTTTTGTTTATTATTATTTTTATCATTATCAATATCATCATCACTATCATCGTTGTAATTATAATGAACTGCTGGTTGTGATTGAGACTGCCCACCATCATGATTATTTTTTAATAGATTTGTTGATGGTGTCTGTTGAAGTAGAACAAATGAATGTGATCTATTCGGTTGTTGAGCAAATCTTTTCTTCAGTTGACCACTTCTTTCAAGTCGTTCACATAATGCAGTTGGATTATTGTCACGAAATGCATTGATTACACGAAGCTGTTAGCATATTGATACAATGAATGGAAGGTTGAAAAGTCAACGGCAATGTGAAGAGAGAAAACACAAACAAAAAACAAGGGAGAATTATTATTATTATTATTAGGTATAATTCAAATAAAATTGTTCTCTACACTATTCTACTACTAATACTACTACTAAAATCGCATGCTATAAACACTCAAGTAAGGTGAGTAGGTAGGTAGATAGATAGATAGATAAACTGAGCAACATTTTAGTGAAATCATAATATTAATAAAAGAAATACTCGGCACTATGCGTTATGAATAGTTTAGTTCAATATCATGCACTACTAACTGTATATATGTATATATACGTATTTAAGTAGTATATGAATTATAACATAAAATATTTTTGTTTTTACTGTGTAATAACAACACAAATGGATTATCAGGCATAAAATTAAAATAAATAAATAATCATAGTTAACTGAAATTGCACATTCTACATATTTTGCTTATTATATGATTCATGTATCACAGTGTATTAATTACCTAATACATCATTACATGCTAGAAAAAAATGAACGTGCAAAAATTCATGATTTGTTATTGAATAACAGAAAATATAAAAAATTATGCATGTATATATTTCTTCTAGGGAAACTATAATTACTACTAACTGTGATAGAATCAGTAGGTATTAAAAAGCATGCCTTGTGTTAACAACTGGCTTTCGCCAGTGGTTTTATTACAAACAAACAAAATAACCAAAATAAAAATATAAAAAATAGTAGAACAAACTACAAAATGCGAAATTATAATGAAACCAAACGAAAAATAAAATAGAACGGTGTTTGTTATTTGAAAACTGCCTTCATCTTTAAGACAGGAAACTGAAATTTATCTTGACAATTTGTCTATATATATATATATATATATTCTATAAGACATACAAAGCACTTGTTATATTATCAAACATTCCATTCTGTTATAGAATTATTCTATCCATTATTCAAATCATTTGCCTTACTGTTAGGTAAGTAATTCATTCTACTGAAGGGAATATACTCTGAGCAGACTGTTGAGTGACATTAGTCGAGTGAGAACTCGACAATGAGAAAGGATGGAATGAGTTGAATGTGGATTGGAAGGTGACATACAGGAGACGAGAGTCCATAGACACAGTTGTGGTGGCAGCTAAAGACAACAGCAGAAAACAGGATGTGCTGTTGAAGCCTTTCCTAAGTTCCACTTGGAACCTAAGGGAACAATAATAATAAGTCACTGTCTTCATTTGATTTTTGATTACAGCTTGATTCCACACTGTATTTTTGGTGCAAGTATGGAATTTTCAGCATGAATATCGGTAGCCCAAATTTTGCAGGCCGACCATAGATATCAGATGTGCGTCGGACCATGTCCATGGCCGGTAAGATTCCTAACCACTGTGCCACCGACGCACACTTACCCAGAGTTGATCAGCATATATATATATATATATATGTTGTGATGCTATTCTTGACTTTAATGTAGACGTATACACGAACACGACAGAAAAGAACATATTGACAACAAATATTGGAGATAAAAAGAAGTAAATGAGTAAACTATGCACACTAAATGTGCTGTGTGTAACAATATATATATATATATATATATATATATATATATATATAGTTCAATTGAGGAAAATGAAATAATAACCAAATTAAATCTTTGTGATGAGTTAAACTAATATACCAATGATGACGATGATGATTACAGTGACACAGAGAAAAACCCAAGACAATTAGACTAACAGAAAGGAAAGATACGCTTTTTATTGATATATATACATATTCATTAGTAAAGTGTAATTATAACCTACCCATATATATTAAAAAGATCTAAAAACAGTCAACTGCTCTCCTCTGATGGTGATGGTGATGTTGATGATGATCACGGCTAATTAAAAGTACCCAATATCACACAGAACGCACACACTCTCTCACACACATATACATACATACATGCACTCTTTCTCGAACTCAGTCAATCATTACTTCTCTCAAGTGATTTTTACAGAATTCCCACATTAACTGTTTTACATTCTCATCGTCTTTTTTTTTTTCAGGACATCATTATGCAATAGAGTGAGTAGATAGAAGATTAAAGTAGGCAAGTGTGTTTACAAAGAAATCAAAATTTGGGGGTAAAAGATTTTATGTCGTCTCTCACTCACTCACACACACAGACACATACACACCATAACTAAAGAGAAAAGGTTATTAAAGATGATAGTAAATGGTATGAATAAGTAAATATACACTCATGAATGACAAAGAGTCTTTAACAAAGAATAATATGTATAAAGAAGAGTTATCCTGTTAGTGATTTGAGCAAATGATTTTTAAAAATACGTATTATATATATATATATATATATGTATATGTAATTAAGGAAATTTCTCTTTCTATTGATAAATGAACGAACGATGATTTATGCTTGCATAAATAAGTGATGAGATGTATTCTTATGTGAGTTTTTGTACTATAAAAAGGAAAGAAAGAAATGAAATATACAGATTGCTTGTAGAGTTGAATTCCTCTGTTGCTGTTTTTTGTTGTGGTTGTTGTTGAGATTTGTATTCTATTGGTTGTGATGTGAATGCGTATGAGCAACATATCTAATCACTATTATTTTGATGAGTAGTGTTACTTCCTCTTGGTGTGTTAGGCAGTAAGCTATGTTATGTAAACATATACTCCTTGTCACTGTGCTATTTGACATTATCCATCTTAAGGCTACATATTCATAATTTTGGTATATATATGTATATAGATATATATTTATCACAAAAGGTTCTAGAATAAGTTATCGCCTTCTGAGGTAGCTGTACTAAATGATTGTTTAAATGATGGAGGTGGTGGTGCTGGCGGCTTACTTGATCGTCTGCCTTGATTATATGAACGATTTGAAGATGGTAGTCTACCACTAGAAGTAGAATCTTGACGTATAGATGACGAAGAAGAATGTTCAATGTTAACTGGTTGATTTGAAATATCTTCAATATTATAGGGGGATTCTGTTATAGTACAGCTTTCAGTATCTTTTTCTCCAGAATCTTGTATCCAACTTGATTTAATCCATTCTTCAAGATCTGGATTCAATGGGGCTCTAGTTTCACTTGGACTCTTGTAGGTATTTTCTTCAAGATGAGAAATATAAGGATTGCCTTCATTGATAATTGTCACTGATGTAGAGATTATACCTTCTTCTTCGTCTTCTGGCTGTTCATCGTGATTGCCAACTTGTCTGCTTTTATTAGTATCACCATAATGACTATTTTTGTAGATTTCTGAATCTAATTTTAATAGACAATGATTTTCTTGTGTTTCTTCCCATAATCCATTTGGTGTAATTGCTGTAGTCGACGATAGATCTGTAAAATCAGTCGATGGTTGTTGTTGATGATGATGTAGGCTGTCATTCCTTATCGATTGTTCTGATAGTTTACTTTTCTTAGAGACTTGTTTATTTAATATACCATCTTTTGATTGTCGATGATATTGTTGACGAATTAAAGCGGCTATTCCACCACGATCATCCTCTGATTCACTTCTACCACGAAAAGCATGCACAACTTTCAACTGATAATCATGAAATTGAAGTAAATTAATACATGGAGGTGGAAAAAAGTAGGTTGATATTAGTAAGTCGAAGAAAAGTTGAACAGAGGAGTAACAACAATACGGGAAGTAAGAGTGTAGACAATCAAGATGTGAGTAAACAAATATCAATACCCAAAAGAAATCGTCGAATATACACAGTTACCGACACACATAGATACACGCACGCACACATATACAAGCACAAACAAAAGAAGTATGGAGAAAATTGACATGCACACACACCCAAGCCAACAAATCATACATTTACGACAAGAACATTTAAAACAAAAACGAAAAGGTGGAGAAAAGAGAATAAAGAAAATAAAGTAGGCATAAGACTAATTGTTATTATTAATTATTAAAAACAAAAAGTAAAACATAATACAAGCAATATTAACCAACTTTCTATTTTCACCCGTAAAAGTATTAAGATAAGTCTCTTCACCAACTGATAAACGGAAGACTAATATTATTAAATAAAGTATAATTATATTTTAATAGTTTACACACAATGATAAGCTTTGTTATTGGTAATATTTCGAGCAAAATTACTGCCCGTGTTCACACCACTGTTGGAATTGTTTCATTCACACATTTATGATTTGTACTCATATATATAGTTCATTATTATCATTATTATTTTGCTCAATATATTATTACTTCATATAAAATAATAATTTTCATTATATGCTGGAATGCTTAAGCCGGTGACTTAATAGTACAATGCTTACCAACGGCTAACGTCATCTGGGTTCGATACTGCCGGTGGATGCACTTGTACGAACTTCGTCCAACTGACTAGCCCTCAAAAAAAGAGAATGTTGAACATGATACTAACGATCCGACCCCTCTCCTGTTAACCAACGGAAGAATACCACTGTGCTATGGTAACTTCAAGATTTGAAGCCATTTAGAACTCAAGGGATGGAAAAAAACAAGACTATAAAGAACTACACTATCTCTCCTAGTAACTTCCACTATGACTATTTGCTAAATGAATTCTGTGATTTAATCTACAAAGCTATAAAAATGGAATTTGTTTGTTTTAGTACTCACTGGTGGTATAATATCTGAAATAATAACAGGTGGTCTTTTCAAGCATTTGAATGAGAAAAAAAGCCAACGAGCAGGAGGAGTATTCCACTTTTGTTGTAAGCATAAATTTAAAATGTTAAACTATGTTTGTTCAGCTTAGTAGGGAAGACAGTGAGCATATATATATAATCGAGTGTTTGCTTGTGGGTTTTTGATTGGTTACACGTTTGATTACCATCCGAAATCAGTTAGAGAACTATTAGAAAACGAGGGAGTACTGGATAAGTATTTCGCCCTAGTTTAAGACTCTCCAGTGATACTCATCCACCGAGGTTCGAACTCAGGACCTTTT